CTTGTCTATGTTTAATTACCTATTTCCTCTATCCCATGTATTTTTTTTTATCTTCTTCATTCCTTTATATTGATGGGGCATATCCTCTAGTAAATTTCTGAGAAAGAATGCACAGAAGGTAAAATATTTTTGAGAACTTTCAGGTCTGAAAATGTCTTTTCATAACACTGGTTTATAACCTGTAAGTTTCATGTGTACAACGTTATATTTCTACTTCTATGTACCCTACAGCGTGCTCACCACCAAAAATTTAGTTTCTATCTGTCACCAAACAGTTGATGCCCTTTATCTATTTCACCCTCCCCCTCTGCCTCTTCCCCTCTGGTAACCACTACTCTGTTCTCTGTATCTATGTGTTTGTTTTTATTTGGTTTGTTCATTTATTTTGTTTTGTTTGTATATTCCACATATGAGTGAAATCATACAGTATTTGTCTTTCTCCATCTGACTTATTTCACTTAGCATGGACCCTTCAAGGTCCATCCATGCTGTCACAAATGGCAAGATTCCACCTTTTGATGGCTGAGTAGTATTCCAGTGTGTGGAATACACATCTTCTTTATCCATTCATCCAAAACACTTAGGTTGTTTTCATATCTTGTTACTGTAAATAATACCACAAGGAACATAACAGTGCATATATCTTTCTGAATTAATGTTTTCGTGTTCTTTGGGGCCTTTTTAATCTGAAAATATGTCCTTTGGTTCTGGGAATATTCTTCAATCATATATTATTGAAGACAATTTTCCTCTGTATCATTGTGATCTCTTTCTAGAATACTAACTTATTTGTTATGTGACCTCCTGGACTGATCCTCAAATATAAGTTATCTCTTCTCTCATACATTCTCCTTTGCCTTTTTGCACTACTTGTTAAGAGATCATCTCAACTTCATCTTCCAACTCTTTGCCTGAGTTATTTCTGCTATCATATTTTAATTTTCAATAACTGTTTCTTATTCACTGAATTTTTTATACCATACTGTTCTTGTTTCATGGATTCAATATCTTCTATTATTTCTGAGGTGAAAATAATACCCTTGTTGAAGTTTTCATTTCCTTGGCCAGTCTCTAATTTCCATGTGAGCCAATGTTGTATGGTGCTATATCAGTAAACCACCCATGTTCCCACATCTGCTGTTTCCACCAGATATTTTTCTCAGACATGCTGCACTAAAAGGACATGCAAAGGCAGTCTAAGGAATGACCTGCACCTGTTTAGGGAAGCACTAAGGTCCTTTTGACTCCACTAGGCTCAGCAACTAGGACCAAAGAGAAACATTCAACTTCATATGTTTTTAAAACCTGCCTCTCTCTCTGCTTTTCAAAGCTATTAAAACAAAAGAGGCCCTTTCTGCAGACAGGTTTCATCTTGTGAGCCAAAATCAGGAGCTGGCTTCAACTAGCGCCACCTGCATCTCCAAGTTTATTTAAATCATCTCAATTTGACATCTCACAGAACGCCTTCTACAGGCTTCTCCCTGCAGGGTTGGGCTGTATCTAAATTGTAGCTTCACGGTCCTCTCCAGAAACACTTGTGGTTTCCTTCCATGTTAACACAACCACTGAGGCTGGGCTCCAGAGATGTAAAGATTTGCTGGTCCCTGACTGAGATGGGCAGCTTCATAATTATGTGTGTTCAGCACTCTCTAGCAAAGCTAAGCCAGATTCCAAGACTTTGTGTGTCCTGCACTGTCTGCCTTCCGTGACTCATGCCATGAGACAGGTATGAGCAAAGTCTGGTAGTTAAGAAACTAAGGAGAGGTTCTAAGAGTTGTGGATATTAAGTGGATATTAAGTCAACAAGAAATTAAAAAACAAAGACAAAAACAAAAAAACCTCCTGGTCTGACTATTAACAATAAGTGCCTCACCTAAAGATTCTAACTTGGAGACCCAAAAGGAGGTTGTCTCATATTTCTTTAATCTGGATTTTTTTTTTCTTTTCTTTCTATAAATGTTGGAGAGCCTTGGTGTTCATCCTTAGACAATCTCTCATTTTTTCCACTGACCCTCTCTGTGATTTCATCCAGTGTCATTAATTTATAAAAATATTCTATATATTGATTAACTCCCAAATTTACATCTCCATGCCCAAACCAAACTTGAATATTCACCTGTCTAGTCAATATCTCCATTTAAGTCTCTAACAGGAATCTCAAACTTAACATGTTTAAAACCGAGTTCCTGATCTTCTCAAAAACCCTATTCCTAGAAGATGCAGTCTTCCCCATCTCAGTTAATGGCCATTCTCTACTTCTAGTTGCTCAGTTCAAAATCTTGCAGTCATCTTCAACTCTTCTAGTTGTATTGTATAGTGGATATTAAACCTGATTAATCTTCGTATGTCTGTAAAATGTTTTATTATGCTTTCAAATCTGAATGAAATTGAGAATTCATTAACTTATTTTCACTCAAAAATTTGGAAAAACAAATTTTTCGTTTGTGTTCTCTTTTCTATGGTTGTAAAACAAAAACACTGACATCAGTTTTATTCTTGTTCCTTTGTGATCTATGTATTTTTCTCTCATGGACTTTCAGAACTTTGTCTTTATTCTAGATATTCTAAAATCTCACAATTATGTAAACAGATGTTGATATTTTTCAGTCATCTTGCTTCATACTTACAGAACTCTTCTAATCTGAGGACAACTGCTTTTCACAGTAATTTTCTTCTATTAGTTCTTTCATTATTTCTTCTGATCCATTCTTAGCCCACTGCTTCTAAAACTTCTCTTAGCAGAGATCAGAACCAGTAGATCTCTCTTTTACATTGCCTAACTTTTCTTTCATGCTTTCTATTTTTTAAATTTCTGCACTATATCCTGCAAAAAAATACTCAGCACAGTCTTCCAACTCGCTAATTTGCTCTTGAACTGTGTTCATTCTTTTCTTCAACGTATCTATAGGATTGTTTATTTTGAAGATCTGTTTTTTAAAAAAAAAAAATGTTCCTTCTACATGAATATGTCATTCTCTCTTACCTCTTTGAGAGGTACCAATGACACTTGAAAAAGTTTCTTTCTGTTTGCTTACTTATGTTAGATTCTTCTATATACTGATTTTTGTGCTTCTCTTCCATAATGTTGGCTTTCCTGAAATACCTATTGATTCTTGGTTGTTGCACATGTAAGAATTCTGTCAACCAGTCTATAAAATACTATTTCTGTTTGCTGCAGGATGTTTCTTTGTGACCACAGAGAGGAAAAACAGCTCAAAGGGGTAGGCTAATAGTTCATCTTCTGAGCATAGGAGGTCCTAGTTCCTCCAGGGTATTTCTATCCCCTTTAAGGCTCCGACCTAGATTTATAATCAGTGTTCCACCCAGAGGGCATCTGTACCTGCTACCTGGCATAAAAGTTGGACTGTTGTTCCAATGCCTCTGTACTCAACCAACCACACTGACAGTTTTCCGAGGATCTTGAAGCACCACTATTATTACCCTTTTTCAAGTCTTCTCCTGAATATGTTTTGAGTTAACACTTTTTCTTTAAATTGATCCCAATGGCCTTCTGCCCTCCAGATTCCTCACACTAGTCCTCCCAGAAAGGAACCCTTTTACTAACAACCAGCTTTGCTGAAGTTACTCTGTTTAGTTTTTAATCTTAAAGTTTTTTCTATTTTTTGCTCCACTTGCTAAGGATTTGAGGTGATTCTAGGTAATCCCTTAAAACTGAAATGAATTTCTTTGCCATTTCCTCAAATAGTCTTAGGTTATCCTGAAAGTCACCACTTTCAACATAATAGTTCAGTACAATTGTCCTCTAATGGAATGATGGGGAACTGATTTTTTAAATACAACTGAATGTTTTAAAATTCATTAACACAAATTTAAAAAGCTAATGTTATCGTTTTCATTTACCTTTCCATTCACATTCTTAAAGTATGTGAACTATATAAAAAGATATTATATACATTATAAACACCTACTGTTATATAACTTTATATATATATATATATATAAACTACATTAATTAACATTTAAGTAGAGCTCACCTTTTTTCATTCATATCATCTACATTAACTGCCCATTAGATTAAAAAAAAAAAAACTGGACAATGCATTGCCTTCTGAGATATTATTTTTTTTAATAACCTAGGTATCTAAAACACATTTCCAATTCTCAAAATTTGGTAATAATGAACCAAGAGCTCTTTGAATGGGTAAACAAAAGAAAGTTTAAATCATACAAACAGACATTAAAGATAAGGCAAAAAATAGCTATTTGCATTAATCCCTAAGGTGGTAATAAACCTTCAAAACAGAGATGCAGCAATCCTACTCACCCTAATAGGTCACTTACTACACTGTAACTGCTGCATCTGCTTATAAAAACAACAAAACCCAGAATACTATTTTAAAAATCATAGACACTTTAGATTTAGAAAGGATTCAAAGGACTTGCATTTGACCCCCAAACCTACTACCCATTAGCTGATGCCTTCGATAAGTTACTTAAAAGGCCTAGTTTCCTTAAGCATACAATAGGGATAGCACTATCAGCCTAGGATTGTCCTAAGGACCAACAAATGAAGTTAAGTATTACCTTCTAAACCAGGATTTCTCTTTTCATTTTAACTCATGATCTTTTTTAGTAAACATCAAAACTTCTCTACTATTTTGTACTAGAAAACTAAAGCAAATTTCCCCCCAGATGTAATACTGATTGTGCTTTTCCAATTTCACACCATCCTATCTAAATCTACTGCCTCTCTCTACTCCTAATCCTATTAAACAGCCAGCACCACCAACCTTGTCAATCTCCTCAGATAAGAAAACTAAGGCCAACCAGAGAGGTTATGTGGCTTCACCAAGGTCATATACTTAGTTAACAATAAAGGCGAGACTCTGACTCCCAGGGCAGTGTTCTTTCCACTTCATTAAATCTTAAAAATACAATGCTACACATTATCTCATCTGAGGTTTGTAGATTCTTTTAAATCTACTTACTCATAGGCATGGGGAAAAAAACTAAACACAAAGTTATTTTGGAGTATTTACCTTTCTGCATGCAGGACAAAGCCCATTTTCATCAGTGCGAATTCGATGCCAACAAAATCGGCAAATCTGGTAGCCACAGGTGCAAGGGAAAAAGTTGATATCATCTATCTCCAAGGGCTCCATGCAAAGAGGACATTCCACAGGGTCTTCCTTCACATCAGGACTGCGAGACATCTTCACGTTTATTAAACAGCAGCAAAAGTTTATAATAATTTAAGGGAGAAGGAGGTTCAGCGCTAGGAACTAAACTGTAGAACTTCGAAGACCTGCATAAGAAAAAACAAAATATACTGCTTACTACTGAAAAAATATGGCATATTCAATGATCAAGAATCAAATTGCATAAAAAATTTGAAAAATATTAGATCAATTTTTGCTATCTCAGAAGATGGAATTCTGTATATTCTTCATGTCAAGATAAAAGGCGTGAGGTTGTTAAATTTTTTGATTCAACAGAAACACAAAAGAACTTCCTTTTTTTAGCTAAAACATTTAATACTAACCAGTACTAATCATAGCATATTTTAGGGGAATAAATACTATGCAGAAACATCTTCACCTTAAAACATACTCTACACTGTCTTATCTTTCACCTAAAAGCTAGTAGTAATACTGCCACATAACTAAAAGAGTATTATAGTAGTCTAAAGTGTGTCCTAGTTTACAAAATAAAACTAATGAAAAAGAGCAGTTTCAGTTACCTGTAATTACATGTTAATATCAAACCATTACCACAGAAAACATAAGACTTGAAAAAAATATGCCATAGAACCTAATTGTTTACAATTAAATATGTATTAATATGCCAATGAAAAGTTCACTTCTGGGAAAATACACACGTATTAAACAAAATTAAAATATTCCTTTTTATTATAGAAATGCTACAAAAAGCCTACAGAAAGGGGGAAGAGAACAAATAGACATCCATGCCTCAAAGTCTTTTTAAAAATTAAATAATTTATCTTTTTAGATTATGGAGAATTGAAAATTTTCAGGCTAAAGTCACTGTTAAATTAAAACGCTATGTCAAAATAACGGAGATATTTTGTTTGTTTACATAATTTGACAAACTAATTCTAAAGTTTACATGAAAGAGTAAATGCATGAGACATGCTTTGAAACTTTTGTGGAAGAAATGTGGGGATCTGCACTATCAGATACTGAACTGTACTACAAAGCTACATTAACAAATAATTTGATATTGGTACAAAAACAGACAAAAGATCAAAGAAACTAAATAGAGAATCTATAAACAGAACAATGAATTAATGAGATTTTAATATTTGATAAAAGGGACATAACAAGGGCTTCCCTGGTGGCGCAGTGGTTAAGAATCCACCTGCCGATGCAGGGGACATGGGTTAGAGCCCTGGTCTGAGAAGATTCACATGCCGCAACCAAGCCTGTGTGCCACAGCTACTGAGCCTGCGCTCTAGAGCCCGTGAGCCACAACTAATGAGCCCGCGAGCCACAACTACTGAAGCCTATGCGCCTAGAGCCTGTGCTCTGCAACAAGCGAAGCCACTGCAATGAGAAGGCCACGCACCGCAATGAAGAGTAGCCCCTGCTCATCACAACTAGAGAAAGCCCATGCACAGCAACGAAGACCCAACGCAGCCAAAAATAAATAAATGAATTTATTTTAAAAAGGTGTGGGGGGACATAACAAATCAATATGGTGAGGATGGACCCAATTTAAAAGCAGTAACAGGGTCCTGGTCTATCCATTTTAAGAAAGAAACAGTATATAGCTATCTCACACTGCAATCAAAACAAATCCCATATGATCTGTCTAAAGAGCTATACACTGAAATAAACTATTAAAGTGTTAGAAGAAAATAGAATTTTTAAAAATCTTGGGATACAGAAAGTCTTCCTAAGCAGAAACAGAAATTCATAAAAGATAGATATGATCAACTTAGCAATGTGAAAAGAAAAAAAACAGACAAATTAAAGCAACAGAGTAAAGCAAGCAACAGAGTAAAGGATATATTCACTGTATACAAGAGTCACTATCCAGAATATATAGAAATCTTACAAGCAATTTTTAAAAGGCAAACAAGTCAAAAGAAAAAATGAGAACAGAATATGATGAGTAGTTCACAAAAGAATTACAAATGATTACAACATATGAAAAGATGATCAACCTCTTTAGTTAGTAAACAGTGAGGTAGCATTTTTCCCCCACCAGCCTGTCAAAGTTAGTCTCCCCTGGCAAAGCAGAGATTATCACTGATCTAAGTTCCTCTTTACAAAGGGAAATGGGAGCACAAAGAGTACCTTGCCTTAAATTGCACAGCTATTAAGTGGTGCGGCCTGGATTCATTCCAGGAATTAGCCCCACATCTGTGCTTTTAACCACTCCCTTAAACCACCTTAGACTCTATCCTACATAAATACTCACACATGTGCACCAAGTACTTTGCTATATGTTTTGCAGCATTGTTCATAAGAGTAGAAAACTGCAAACAATGTTAACTATCCATCAGCTGGCAAATCATTAAGTAAATAATGATATAGCCATAAGGTTGATGTGTGTTGAATCAGGAGATGTCTATTATATACGATTTTTTAATTTGTAAAAGTAAATTGGAGACTAACGTAAATATATAACTACTTCCACATAAATATAAAAACTCTATGTGTATATATTTGATTTGTTTCTCGAAGAAAATAAAGCACATTGAAGGTTATACACCAAAATGTTATCCATATCACAAAAGACAAAATGGAGGTACTAATTTTATTTTGAAAATCTGTATTATCTGTATTGCTACAACAAACATTTTTGAAATTCAAATGGCCAAACTTAAAAAAAGAAATTATTTTCATCTCTTTTAGGAAAATTAAATCTGACTTTTGTTAATAATTAGAAGAAAAATAAAATGAAATATCTTTTTATGAACCTATAATTATTTCAAAATATAAGTTTCTTAAAAAGAAAAAAATGGTATATGTATTTATAAACAATTCAGGAATCCTGGTCTGCAGACCCAGTTTTGCCACTATCAGTTTCCTCATATATAAAATGAGGGGTTTAATCTTATGGTTACCAGGGGGGGAAAGGGGGAGAGGGATAAATTGGGAGATTGGAATTGACATATACACACTATTATGTATAAAATAGATAACTAATAAGGACCTACTGTATAGCACAGGGAACTCTACTCAATACTCTGTAATGACCTATATGGGAAAAGAATCTAAAAAAGAGTGGATATATGTATATGTATAACTGAGTAACTGATTCACTTTGCTGTACAGCAGAAACACAACACTGTAAATCAACTATACTCCAATAAAAATTCAAAAAGAAACAAACAAACAAATAAATAAAATGAGGGGTGTTAAGGAATGCAAAAGTAAGACTGACAACTTCAAAGCCCATGTCCTTTCCAATATGGTAAGACAGAAGTTATGATTACTGAAGGCTCGGTCGCATATTCTTCGGTATATAGTGCAAATGTCCTCAAAGTAAAAGTGACATTACTCTTTCAAAAATTTAAATTCTACAGGAAATCTCTACTTCATTATTTAAGTTCTTGTTCTCTATATCACCTGCAACTAATAACACAACACAATATAAATTCTTTTTTTTAAGTTACAAGATTTATTACTTAGAAATCCCAGAAATGGAGGGGGGGCGCGCAGGGGGACCACACTGAGCTGGGGGAAGGGCAGTCCTCCACTTCAGGTTAAGAGTGAGCCAGAGACAGAGAGCAGGGTAGCAAGCATGTGTTGGTTGGGGCAGACTTTTCTTGGGCTCAACTCTAAGCGGTCATTTTTTTTTTTAATAGATCTTTATTGGAGTATAATTGCTTCACAATACTGTGTTAGTTTCTGTTGCACAACAAAGCGAATCAGCCATATGCATACACATGTCCCCATATCTCCTCCCTCTTGAGCCTCCCTCCCATCCTCCCTATTCCACCCCTCTAGGTCATCCGCAAAGCACCAAGCCAATCTCCCTGTGCTATGCTGCTGCTTCACACCAGCCAACTATTTTACATTCGGTAGTGTATATATGTTGATGCTACTCTCACTTCGCCCCAGCTTCCCCCTCCCATCCCATGTCCTCAAGTCCATTCTCTATGTCTACATCTTTATTCCTGCCCTGCAACTAGGTTTATCAGTACCTTTTTTTTTTTAAGATTCCATATATATGCGTTAGCATACAGTATTTGTTTTTCTCTTTCTGACTTATTTCACTCTCTATGACAGACTCTAGGTCCATCCACCTCACTACAAATAACTCAATTTCATTTCTTTTTATGGCTGAGTAATATTCCACTGTATATATGTGCCACATCTTCTTTATCCATTCATCTGTGGATGGACATTTAGGTTGGTTCCATGTCCTGGCTATTGTAAACAGACAACACAGTACAAATTCTGACATACATAAAAACGCTCCTGCATCACCAAAAACCTCCCATGTAGTAAGTGTACAAAATAAAAATCATACACTCAAAATCATGCTCAAAAGTTCCTTATCACTCATAAAGTGCTGTATACATGGTTTTGTACTTAGGACCCTGTTCAAAAGATTTGTATAAAATACACTATAGTGGGAGGGAGCCTCAAGAGGGAGGGGATATGGGGATCTATGTATACATATAGCTGATTCACTTTGTTATACAGCAGAAGGTAACACAACATTGTAAAGCAATTATACTCCAATAAAGATGTTAAAAAAAAAAAACAACATAGGGCCACTACTGTATAGCATAGGAAACTCTACTCATTACTCTGTAATGGTCTACATGGGAAAAGCATCTAAAAAAGAATGGATATATGTATAGGTATAACAGATTCACTTTGCTATACATCTGAAACTAACACATTGTAAATCAACTAAACTCCAATAAAAATTAAAAGAAAAGAAAAAAAACACTATAAAATGTCAAGAACTGCAGCTGCTATGGAAAACAGTTTGGTGGTTCCTCAAAAAGTTAAACATGGAATTAGCATCTGATCCAGCAATTCCACTTTGGGGGATATACCAAAAGAATTGAAAGGAAGGATTTGAACAGAACTTGTACACAAATTTCATATCAGAATTATTCACAATACAACCCACATGTCCATCAACAGATGAATGGATAAACAAAATGTAGTGTATACATACAATGAAATGTTATTTAGCCATAAAAAGAATGAAATTCTGATACATGGTACAGTGTGGATGAACCTTAAAAACATTATGTTAGGGGCTTCCCTGGTGGCGCAGTGGTTGAGAGTCCGCCTGCCGATGCAGGGGACACGG